TTTTTTTTCGGTGCTGTTCACTTGCTTTTCTTTTTTTAAAAATTCTTACCTATTCTTATTTTACTAATTCAATAAAAATTTCAGCATGAGACTTAATTAATATTATAAGTGCAATCACCAAGGAGAAATATTTCTCATACAAAAATACTTAGAAATGTTTTATTCGTACGACGGTATAATAAAAATACATGTAAATTAAGTTTATTAGATGACACGAGTTGCGTGTAGACTGTAAAGTAAGATTAATTTCTATGGAAGCTGTGTAAGAAGATGGCGCTGTGCTTGAATTCGATTATACCTGATGTTGCCAGGTTTCCTATAACATTAATGTCAGGCATATGGTGTTTATATAAGCTAAAGATATTTACTTAATGTTATGCTTTTTTCAATTAATTCAACATGATGAATAATGACCTTGACATTCCATCAGATTTTAAAAATGATGCCGTTCTTTATATTGATAACACAAAAGAAAATAGCCTTACACAACTTATAACAAAAGCTCAACAACAAGGTTTTAATTGTCTTGATCTTTCAAAAAGAAATATCGATGAATTTCCTTCTCAAATTCTTGAATTTACATCATTGCAAGTAAATTATTTTCAAATCTAATTGTATTAAACTTTTTCTTCTTCTTCAGTATTTATATTTAGAAGGTAATCAATTAACTCAATTACCTACTGATCTATTTATTCGATTACCAAATTTAAAATGGCTTGATCTACGTAATAATCAATTAACTTCAATACCACATCAAGGTCTTGCTAAACATTCATCTCTTCAATATTTATTATTAAGTGGTAATCTTCTTCAAAAATTACCATTTGAACTTGGTAAAGTTAAAACTTTATCAGCATTAAATCTTGATGGAAATCCATTACATCATCCACCAATTGAAATAATTCAACAAGGTATTAAAGCTATTCAACAATATCTACGTGATAAACTTAATTCCGATAATGAAGCATTATTATCGGATGATGATGATGATGATAATCAACAACGAACACCAAAACTTTCTTCTCGAAAATCTAAGTACTTGAATTTATAGAAAAGAAAAGTGAAAATCATTTCAAATCGTCATTTATAGTTTTAAAACAGACAATAATGAAATAGACGATTCAGATTTATCACCACTTCGTGTTCAATCATGTAAACAATATGAAAGAACATGTTATTCATCAAGACATTCATCATCACCAAGTCGATCACAATCATATTCTGGAACAAATTCATCTCAAGTGTATGTCGCAAAACAATAAAAATATTTCATTTTTCCCCAGAGTATATAACTAGAGTTTTGTTTAGAATACGAAAAACAATACCAAAAAAATATAATGATTTAAAACGAAATGTTTATACAACTCAAGAACAACCACTTGTAAGTTTAAAAGTATAATATTCTCATAGTTTTATTTGATTTTATAGGAATATAATAGAAAAAGTTATAAAGACAGACAACAATTACATCCGAGAAATTTTATTAAAAGCAAAGGTAATTAATTGTATTATTTTCAAAAAAAATCTTATCATTGATATCTATATAGAAAAACCAGTTGTAGAAACGCCATTACTTATTCATCGTCGTTACACACGATTGATAAGTAAAGATCAATTAGAATTTATTAAAAATCTTTCATCAGATTATATCGGACAACAAGATGAAATAAGGTAATTCTATTGAGAATTGAAGACGAATAAGATAATATGAAAATATTTTAGGCGAAAACATGATCGACAAAATCATGATCATATTCGTCAAATAACTGATACAATGCTCAAACGTCGTTTAGAAGAACGAGGAAATCTATTGGAAGAAAGACGTCATGTTAAATGTGAAATTCAAGAAGTATAGATTCATTTGAAATTTTATTCATTAAATTATTTTTTTTTCTTGTTTCAGTTACATAGACTTGTATCTGCTGGTAAACAACATCGACCACCTCAAGTAGTTATTCGTCCTAAGACATCGACCGGTGAAATAAAATCTAGTAAAAAACTGTGATTGTTCATTATTCTTTTTTTTTTTCTTTTAATTAAATCCGACATTGAAATTATATTTGACATATTGAAAAGAATAAATGTATTTGATTCCATTTCGTGATATCATACACAAAAGAAAGTACCCACACAAAAAGAAAATGGCCCGTGTAAATAGCACTGTATAAGACAAAAAGCCCATAACTCTAAACCGGTCATTTACAAGAAAAAAAGACACGCGCACACATTTTATGAATTGACAACCATTGTATACATATCTTTGACAAGTTGTTCCATATGAGTTTTATCTCCAATAGTTTTACGAAAAAAAATTTCTTCAATCATTGTTGATGAAACTAAACGAAATGATGATAATAATGTAATAAGTTTTATAAAACGATTTTCTTCTAATGGATATTGTTTATTAATATATGTATTTAATAGAATATGTGCTTGATTTTGTAAATAATTTATTTTATGTATATCATTTAATTTTGAATTAATCATTGTTTGACAAGTATTTAAATATGTTTTGAATAAAACTAAATTTTTTACACAAATTAATTCATTCGAATCAATTTTCATATGTTTAAATTTATTTAATATTTCTTGAAAATTTTCAATATCAGATTTATATATTTCATATTTTGTATTCGAATAAATCAAATCATTTATATTGATTGTAAATTGTTGTTCAATAGCAGTTAGAATAAATAAATCACGCCAACTTTCTTCAAGTAAACAATACTAAAACAAGAAATGATAAATTAGAATTATTTGCAAGACAAATATACTTGATCACGGCTGGATAATGATGTAAATGCGGGAACAGTTTTAGTCCAATTAATAGCATTGAATAAGATTTTAGCAGCTGTTTCATGATGATCAATAGTTGGGTACTAAGAAGAAAAAAAAGATTCGTGTCCGGAGGAATTAATATGATTTTCGTACTTTGGGTGTTGATTGTTGTTGAAGAGACATTGATTGATACCGATGAAAATGATACGCATTCATTATATCATTGGATTCTTTGAGTAATAAAGCCATTTGTTTTCTTATTGTTGAATTTCTTGGACCACGTTCATGTTGAACAGCTAGGAGAATAGATAAAATTAAATTTTTTTTTCGTTTAAATTAAAATAATTACCTTCTTTATTCATTCCAGATTCTAAACAACGTCTTAAACGACAACTTCGACATTGATTTCGATGTGTTTTATCGACAGGACAATTGCCTAAACCATGATTTTTACATATATATTGGCGATTTCGTCGTATTGATCGTTTAAAAAATCCTGCACATCTATCAAAATAAAAAAATAATTAAAAAAAATCTTTATATCTATTTGTTATTTACCCATCGCATGCAAATATTCCATAATGTTTACCAGATGAATTATCATGACAAACTCGACATGGAACATCAGTTAAGATTCTGCCTAGAAAATTAATTTTATTTAAAAAAGAAAATTGAAATAGTTTTTTTTCTTCTTCATTACTTGATGTTGTATTCATTTGTCGATAGCCGTTCATATTCTAAAATGGATAGGTCACTTTTATCAAAAGAGAGGGAGAGAGAACGACAAAAAGTCGAATCATTCATCGAATAAATGTATAGATCAAATCAATTCATTGGATACGATTTAATATGTATATATTTCTTTTTTCTCTCTCTCTCGCTCGCTTTCTCTGTCTCTATATAAAATAAAAAAAAAAAGAAAGGGATCATCTCCTAATATCGATTTTAACTCATGACATTGGCTTAGACAAGAAAAAAAGAAAAAGGTGAAATTTTTTTTCTATTAAATAGAAAAATATAGATGGACATCACATTTGTATCTTCATCTATTTAATTGGTCATTATACATTTTTCCTAATGATATGTGAGACAATAGGATCATGACCTCGTCAATCGATATGTAAATATCGTCTTCAAGATCCTTGTGCTAAGCTTCATTCATTCATTCATTCACTCATTCTCTCATATAATGACGAAGGTACCTTTTACTTTTCTTTCTTCAATATTCTATATGAATTGTCAATCGACAAATAGTAATAATTGTATACACGACATTTATGTATGGTCTATTTGCTAAAGAAGAAATTACTATTCGACTATATTACTGGTTCCATTCAATCGATAATAAGCACAAACAAATAACACACGAAGAGAGGAATGAAAGAAGAGCAACATTATTTGAATGACAAAGAAAACTATGTTGATCATACTTGATCAATATTATATGCGCGCCTATGACTTTATTAGTGGAATAAGAAAAAAAATCGATATGTGCGAGGTAAATCAAGTAAAAGTTGTGCTTTCTTGATCTATGTACATACACACATTTATATATATATAAATGTATATTGAAAACTACTGTTATTTATCCATCACTAATCTCTGTACATGATCGAACAAGTGTAACAGTATATATTTTCACAAGGTTGATGTATTACATCATATTAATTTGTTTTTGTATAAACAATATTTAGATTTAAGAAGAAGAAGAACATCTTTTAAAAGATTTTATATATGACCTATTGGAAGGATTTAATTTTAGTTTGACTTTATTAAAAAAAAGAAAAGATTCATTGTTACTTACACGAGCATTATTATCATTTGAGATCATGTCTGTTTGTATATATGTATGTTATAATCCTTTTGCATTGGAGTTAGGTGAAAAGAAATAATGACAATGGTGATTTAGCATAGGACGGTCAACTTAACCATCATCCTTGATAAGTTTTATATAGATTGTTTAATGATCAAACATTGAAATTGTCAAATGACCATATCATTTCTCCATTACCAACCGTGTCGATTTTGCCGCTTATTCATTATCAACAATGGTGGTAGTTTATATCTAGCAGGTGACTATCGCGTTTGATCCTTTTCAAACCTATGGAGAGAGAAAAAAGAAAGAGAAACGTATATATCTCAATTTACAAATTGTTTCACACCATCGTTCTAATTGTAGGAGGAGAAAAAGTGAGTGATTGTCATTCAACATCTGTATGTATATATTTATCATTAGAAAAATATAACGAATAATTGAAAATAAAAAATCTAAGCAATAATATATTATTCACGCATTGAGCGACATCATCAGGGAATAAAAAATCAAATTTTCAAATAGAAGGAGGATGGTTGGCAAGCAACATAACATATTAAAGACGGTAAAACAAAAGTTTTACATACACACTACTCATATTAAATTCCGAAAATGAGTACTGCTCAATATCAAAATTATAACGGAGGTTTGATTTTTTTGTTTAAAAAATTAAATTTGAAATTATTTCTATAGATCAAAGACAACGTATTGGAACTCCTGATGGCGGAGAAATGGAAAAACATTTTAATGATGCTAAATCATATATTTTATCAACAACATCAAAAAATGGTGTTAATTTGTAAATATATTCTAATGAGACTTTAATATATATATTTTTAAATCATTTTGTCTTTGTAGATATAATCATTTAGTAAAATGTGTTTCTCGATTATTAACTGAACAACCACGTAAGATAAAAAACAAAATTTTTTTTACATTAAAATTAAAAAATAATAATTTTTTGTATTTTAAAGGTGATTCTGCTGTTATATTTGAAGATATTAGCAAATCTACTCGATCTCAAGAAGAGAAGAAAGAAGATGAACCGAATCCAGAGGCAGAACAGATTTTAAATGAAGAACAAAAACCACTTTTTGAGGTATATTTCCTTTATACTATTCCTAGAAAGACAAAAAATGATTTATCATATATCTATATAGAAAGGTGAAAATACAGATGATCTTGATGAAGAAGCATTACAATCACCATTGCCTCATATTCTTGAACAAGCCTATTATTTTGAACAAGCTGGTATTGGTCTTGGACGAGATGAAACATATCAGTAATTACAAACAAGGATGAATTCAAATGTATATATATATTTATTTTAGAATTTGGCTTGCACTTAAACAATTAGTTGATAAAAGTCAATTTGAAAAATTACGTTTTTGGGGTAAAATATTAGGTACAGAAAAAAATTATTATGTAGCTGAAGTTGAACAAAATGCTGATGATGAAGTTGAGGAAGAAGAAGAAAATGAAGAAAATAATGAAAATGAAGATGGAAAAGATCTTGATGATGATGAAGAAGGTGAAGGTGATGAAGATCCTTTGCCAAAATCAACGTTTAAATCACCACCAACTGTACCAAAAGAAGAACGTGGTACAGGTGTTAATAAATATACTTATTATGTTTGTAATCGTCGTATGTATTCTTCTTAATTTTTTTGAAAGATTAACAAAATGACTAATTGAATATTTTTCAGCTGGAGCACCATGGGTTAGATTACCAACAATAACACCAGCACATATATCTCTCGCAAGACAGATAAAAGTCTATTTTACAGGAGATTTAACAAGAGAAATCAAATCTTATCCAGCTTATCCAGGAACAGAAAAACATTATTTACGTGCACAAATTGCAAGAATTAGTGCAACAACACAAGTATCACCTAATGGACGATTTAAATTCTCAGATGTAATTAAATATTGAATTTATTTAATTATTTCTTATTTATTTGATTTAATTTAGGAAGAAGAAGAAGAGGAAGAAGGTGGTCGAACAAATTATGAAGATAATGAAGATTTTACAGGTGCACCATTATCAGAATTAACTGATGAAGAATTAAATGGATGGGTAATGAAGATCTTTAAAAAAATATATCATATTTCATTGATTTATTTAGGTTCATCATGTTTTACATATTCTTCCTCAAGGTCGAACAAAATGGTGGAATCCAAAAGAAGGTGAAGAAGAAGAAGAGCAAGAAGAAGAGGAAGATGAAGATGCAAAAGCTGAAAATGAACCACAACCTGAACAAGGCCCACCACTTTTAACACCAGTTGGTGCTGATGCAGATATTCATCATACAAAAGCATGGACAGCAAAAATATCTTCCAATTTAATTCCACAATATGCCTGTGCATTCATTCGATCAAATCTTTGGCCTGGTGCATATGCATTTGCACGTGGAATGATCTGGGAAAATATTTATATTGGTTGTGGACATAAATATGCAACATCCGATTATAAACCTGAATTACCACCTTTACCAGCAACTGAATATAACGATGGACCAGAAATTTTAGAAGCAGATGATCCAACTGCTGAAGATGAAGAAAAAGCTCGTGCTGCTGCTGAACAACCTGAAGAAGCCGAAGAAGAAGAGGAACAAGAAGAAAATGAAGATGAAGAAGATTAAACTTCTTTTCTTATGTGTGTATCAATTGCTTTGTTTCATTTTAAATACATATATTTCTAAACATAAAGTATATGTTTTTCTTTATTTGAATTATAAAAACATTTTTTTAGTAAATAATATATCAATCATTTCTTAATATACAATATATATTCTTTTCGATTGAAAAAATTTATTTACAATTAAAAATAGATCAGAATATAATCTCAATTGATTGTCCAATATTAGAACGTTGTTCTTGGATGAGAAATATTTGAGAGTTAGCAATGGTATCTTATCTCATAACTTGTATTGAAAATCTAGATATGAACAAACTTTGCAGTTTTGGCTGATTTGATGTAGCTTCACTATTTTCTTCTTAAGACGTTATTAACAATTTACCAAAATAAAATAGATATCAGATACATCTGTGTTAAAGGATGGTATATACCATCCTCTCGTCCAGGCACATATGTTCACATATCTTTGTCATCTTTGGTTCTTGGCGTTTCATCATCGTCCATTTCATCATCTTTTTCGTTGCATCATTTTTTTCTTTGTGAGGCTGGACGGTCGTTGTCCAGCTCCACCTTTGTTACGCTGTACTATATATATAGTGCTGATTTATTTCAATAAAATCATCATCACATCTCCAGCTTCACATCTTGAGTTAGCCACCTCGAGCTACACGCTCACCATCTGACTATTACTAAAATAAAAATATTGAAGGTAAATACCTGTATGTAAATTAGTAGTCTAGGGATAAAACGTGTTTGGTGTTAAAGTCGTATAATTGATAAAGAAATAATATTTCTGATAATTTAGTATAGAATATTCTAGGTAATGCATCTATCCAGAGAAAAAGATAAAAAATAAATAACAAGAGTCGGCGAAATTTTATTAACATGAATCATTACTATGTTATACCACTGCTTATTTTTGTAGAAGGAGGAAAGTAAAAAAATACGAATGACGATCGTTGCATCAGATATATCATGAAAGAATGCATAGTAGCAAGATTTATTGCATATATAAAATCAAAAGTAATTCTATTATAGATGACAACGACTGTTTTATCGGATATAAAAATGGATGAAACTCAAATAAGAAGAGCATTACTCGTAGTCGATCTTCAACAAGATTTTACCACTCCTAATGGTCCATTTAAAAATTCATATTTTAAGATTGATCATATTATTTCTAATTTGACTACTATTCTTCCACATTTTCGTGAACACAATGGTATTGTTATTTGGATAAAAGCAGATTATTCGAAATTTATATCAGAACCAAAATATCTTACTCGTCCAGAAGGTGAACGATATGAAGGAATTCCAATGAATGATGCTCTTCTTTCTGGTTCACACAAAGCATTTCCATTATGTATGCCTGGAACCGATGGAGAAAAGTTTATGCCTGAAATTGAATCACTTATAAAAACCGATCAAGATATAATCATAACTAAAACATATTATTCAGCATTTACCGATACCAATCTTGCTGATATTCTGAAAGATGTACAAGAAGTTCATATCTGTGGTCTTGTAACAGGTGTTTGCGTTCAAGCAACAACTACTGATGCTTTCTTTCATGGACATAAAGTTTTTATTTGGACTGATTGTCTTGGACATCGAAATGAAAAAGGACATCGAAAAGCCTTGAGTAATATGAAACGATGGTATGCAACAATGATAAATTCAAGTAATTATTATCAACAAGCAACACTTGCCAATTTGAAACCTATTCTATATTTTGTTAATGGATCTATACCTAGCTGGAGAGTAATGATGGCACTTTATGAAAAAGGTATTGATTTTGAAGGAAAACGTTTAAAAGTTATGTCAACACCTAAACAAACTAAATCAGTCGAATTTCTTGCTATTAATCCTCGTGGTTTAACACCAACATTAGTCGATACAGATGGTTCAATTATTGCTGAATCTCTTGCTATTCTACATTATCTGGAAGAATATTATCCAAATACTCTTCCACTTATACCTGTTGAGAAATCTGAACATATTAAAGTTTTACAACGAATTCAAGAGTCACAAAATCTTGTTGATATATATGAACCACTTGAAGAGATTGTATTTAAAACACCTAAAGAAGAGCAATCATCACATAAAGATTCAATTATTAAAACTCTTCAATTAATCGATCAAGAACTTGCATTTTGGGAAATGTATTTAACAAAAACAATATTCATTGCTTGTGATCAATTTACATTAGCTGATTGTGCATTCTATCCTGTTATTGCTTATTTAATACATCGAGGATTAAATCTAGATAAATTTCCAATACTTAAAAATTATATCAACACAATTAAAACCAAACCAGCTGCAATCAAATCACATCCAATAGATTGGGTTGAGAAAAGTGGTAAAATCAATATATTTAGAGTGGTTAACAATATTGTAGGCAATTGTAATAAAGAAAATGAATAATTTAACAATTACTGATTCTTCTATTTGACAAATCAATAAGAGATTATATACTATTTCTTTTTCTTGTTAGTATGTATTAATGAATAAAAGTAAAATTCTAAAAACTTTTTAATATACCTCCTTGTTACTAATGAAATCTAACATCAGTCGGTGATAGATTTAAAAAAACATAACAATTAGAAAAGATATGTATATTTCGCATTATTGCAATTGATTGCTACAGTGTTAGTCTCTTGATAGTTGTAGAATGATATTAGATGTATTATTCGTCATTTGAACCAGTCATTCAAAATAAATATTAATAGACTATTCTGGTTATCGATGATGTATTGCTAGTTTATTATTTAAACAATCAGAAAATTTACACAAAAAAAACAGAACAGGAAGACATTTGCTAGTTTAATTATATAAATCTTGTTTTTCTCCTATATTCTACAAAATCAATCTTGCATCACCACACACTTTGCTCATTGGACGATTCAAATAACCTAGAGTCATCATATCTTGATCGTCAAGCTGAAAATCAAATATAGACATATTTTCCATCATATGTACTGGATCACGAGTACGAGGATTAATTACAATTCCTTGTTGCCAATGCCAACGAAGTATTACTTGAGCCGATGTTTTACCGTATTTCTTTGCAATTGCAGTAACATTTGGGTGTTTGCGTAAATCAGGAATAGCATTCCAAGTAGGACCAAGTGTTATAGCATAGTCAGGAGCACCAATTGGTGAATAACTATTAAATGTAATGTCTTGTTTTTGACAAAAATCTAGAAGTTCATCTTCATGCCAATAAGGATGAAATTCTACCTGAAAAAAAAGAGAGATTATGATTCACGAGAATATTTCATGAATTGGACATACTTGATTAACACTAGGAATAGTGGAATTTAAATTAAAAATTTCTAATAAATGATTTACTTCATAATTGCTCACACCAATAGCACGAACCTAAAAAATCAAATTATACTAAAGTTAACAATAAATTTTTTATGATAAATTCTTTACTCATACAATTATCTCTGACTTAAAAAAAAAGAAGAATCTTACTCGTTTTTGATTGAATAATGTTTCGAATGCTCGCCATGATTGAATACGACATTCTTTCCAAGTTCCGTCTTCTTTTACACAAGGTGGAATTGTTATTCCAGGTTTACCCGGTTCTTCACCTGGCCAATGAATGAGAAGAAGATCAACATAGTTGGTTTGTAAAGATTTGAGTATGGTAGCGAATCTTTCAAGTACTTGATCATAGCTAGTAGGATCTATTTTCGATGTAATAAATATTTCTGAACGAGGTACACCGCTAGCTACCCAACCTGTACCAATACCATTAAGTGAAGCATAACAGTCAGCAGTATCAATACGTCTGCCGCCCATTGTTAACCATGCTAGACTAGCATTATGGCCTTGCTCAGGTCCCCAATATTCTCCACCTGAACCATCAGGTTTACCATAGCCTCCTGTACCTAATCCTACTACAGGCATCAGTACTTCTCCATGAGCAGCATTCATAAGTCGCACAGTTGGTTGCTGATTAACAGATTTCATCTCTGAAGTAGCACAGAGAATTGACATCGATAACAATGCAACAAGGTAAATGTGCAGAAAGAACATGAAGAAATGTTGTTGTCGTCGTATTTATCTTCAAAGTAATACAGTACAAAATTTAGAAAGAGTAATAATTGTGATAAAAAAACTAACCTAAGAACAAGAACAAAATACAAATAGTTTGAGAGTAAAGGCCTTGTAAATATAGATGTAACTCGAAAAAAAACAGTGCTATTTTCTTTATTTAAAATTACCTATCATTGTAGATAACATGTTTATCGTCTTATTGAGTCTCATCTTGATCTTTACTAGTAAAGTGAAATGCTTTCTGTTCATATGAATAAAGAAAACTATAATTCTTTTTTTTTGTCTATCGTTTGAAAGCCTTAAGATGAAACTTATATACAGTGAGATAATGAAATAATCCATATCATCTAACAGTGTGTCATGGTATTTTTCCCTTTTTTGTTATAATTTTATCCAACACATACACATATATATAGCTGTCGTTATGTGTATGTGATATGTATATATATATCTTTTTATGTTTCGTTCTCTCTACCTGTTATTTGTCTTTTCTCTTCTTCAATAAAGATACATTTTCCGAAGATCGTATTTCATTGAATATTAAGACGTAACATATACACGATACTTTACAAAGTTTGTTTTTTATTTGAGAGGATAAAAAGGACAAATGTTAACATGTGGCAGTATATTTTTTATCTGATTAAGCAAATAAAAAATGGAAAACATAAGAAACAAAGCCGTGAAATTTTTTATACTATATTCAAATTTGAACAATTTATATCTACCCAGGCCAAAAAAACAGACATGAGATCTGACGCGTACCAGATTTTTCATCTGATCTTGATACAAAATCGGACAATATCATATATGTTGGTTTTTTTTAAGATTCTGAACGTCATATACAAGCTAAAATCTTACGAAAATCAGACAATCGGATTCGTATTGGTTCGGACTGAGTGTTGCTTACAAGATTTTATCAGATCCGATATCATACAACAAAATGTCAGATCTTGTACGATCATATATGTTTTCTATTTTATTCGAGAATTGCTAATATAATGGTTTCATTGTGATATATATATATAGTATACAATGGATGAAATGGCACTGCCAAAGCTAACGCTTCACAGTAGTGAGGTAGTAAGACGAAATTAAACTTGATAAGTAAACATCGTTAAATCACTAATTTACCTCTGAAATTTGTTAAGAAAAGGGAATTTGTGTAAAATACATTGAAGCGAGAAAAGATCGATACTATGTTGCAACGACCTCTCTGAAAACCCTTTACATTTTTCTATAAAATCGTCTGTGTCAAATTAAAATAAAACTTAACGCTGACTAGAAATTACAAATAGAGAAACAAATATTTGTTTTTATTATCAGATATTGCAACAGATGAACTTTTACAAAAAAAGGATTTTGAATATTTACTAAGAATTTAATTCACCTCGGGAAAGTTCAGCGTTCTTTTACACATTCATTGATTATCAAAATCTCTGCTCATTTTGGTTTATTTTATGATATTAGACTTTCCTAGCACTATGGTGTAGTCTTTATTACTATTACAAATAATGAAAAAAAAATTTAAGCTAAGCTAATAACAAATAAAATCTTAATATCTTGTCTTCTATCATAACTTTCAGATCCCTGAAAATTCAATGATAATAGGCTGTAAAAAAACCGCTGTAGTTTTTTTTTAGATATAACACGGTAAATACAATGAACTTGTTGCACCATATCAACTTAAATACAAATGTTAATCATTATTAGAATAAAATCTTTGTTTCACTCCTATATTTCTATATAAGTATATTTACACGTCTGTTTTAGTTTTATAGTGAATATATATAGATGTAATGAAGGCGACTTCTGTCGTCTGGTAGCAAAATGAGTGTCTGTCATTTATTGATTTTAGACTTTCTATTACTTCTTACGTTAGTGATTAGTATCTTATTCATGTTATTGTTTAGCGAAAACTATTTTATTTATGAGTACAATTGGCTTGCAAATAAAATATTCTCATTGATATATGACTCATTTTATTTTCACTTTAAAGTTTAACTGATACAGTGTATGTGTAAAACAAAAATTTAACGAAACCAGTGTAAATCTTACTATAAGATCAGTTTCTTAGTTCTGATACGAAGCCTGTTTAAAGAATTCAGGAACGACGATTTTTCGTATGACCTTATTACCTGATTGATTGACCTGGGTTGTCTTGATTTTATTAAAAAATAAATTTTCTAATATTTTTTATATACTGTCACATGTCAAGCATGTTCGGAAATGAATATCTATTTTTGCTGAATTAAATTCTTGATGAACGCCAAGTTTATGATAGCCACACCTTGTCTTTATTAACATTCCGACAGAAAGAGAAAAAAAACGAGAGAATAAATTCATGCACATATTTTTTATTTTTTTAAGAGTATTTTTTTTCTGTTCCTCGACAACTGATAGCATTCTTGAAAGGCTAAATCAATGAATATATTTTTTCAATCTATTATTAAAGTAAAAGGTAAAAAGATAGAGAAGAGAAAAATCTTTGACACATATATCAGTTTTTAGGTTATCTATTATCTTTTGATTATTATCGTTTGGTTTGGATAGTTATTATAGCTTTATTATTATTTCTTTTTTATACTTCTCGTCAATGTCAGTTTATACCTTCTAATATATCATATATTAAAAATTCTTTTAATAAAACAAGAAATTCATCTAATCAGACAGATATACGATCGCAATTAACTAGAATTATTGTTGTATCTCATTATAATGAAGATATAAATTGGCTTGATTTATTTATTGGTGATAAAATTCCACATATTGTTTATACAAGATCATCTGATCCATTAATACGTCATGGTCTATTAGTAAATAAAGGCAGAGAAGCTGTAGTTTATCTTCGTTATATTGTTGATTTTTATTCAAATCTACCATCATCAATAGCTTTTATTCATGGACATCGAACTTCATGGCATCAAAAGGATCCAAATGATGTTGTCGTTGCATTACGAGCTTTAAAATGGCATAAATATAGTTATATGCCATTGACTAGTACAACGACTACATCTCGATTTCAACAGAGAGCTTCAGAAATGCAAGAAGCAGTTAATTATGAATTATGGCGAGATGTTCTACAGAAAGAACTCGGTCCACCACCATTAAATGGAATTCGAACACATTGTTGCGCATCATTTGTGGTTAGAAAAGAGGCTATTCTTAAACATCCGAAAGAATTTTATTTAAAGATAATGAATTATATTAATGCTAGTCCACGTTCTGATCAATTAACAGGTAGAACACTTGAATATACTTGGCATATGATCTTTGGTCAACCAGCAATATTCAATATGAAATCATGTGATGTATTTTTTTGCGATGCAAATGGAAGAATTTCTGTTGAATTAGCGGAGAAAAATGCATAGTTCGTATTTATTAATAAACCTACTAATAAATATTTATTCTGATTATTTGATTAACAAATTGACAAGCATACGTTATCAACAAGAAAAAGAAAACTACAGCTTTTTAAAACAAAAATATATATTTAAACAGAGCATTATTTTATATAATACAGTGAATATAATCTTAAAATAAAGTCAATTATCAAAACTGTATTACAAACTTATGATAAGTATTGTTTGATATCATCATAAGGAGAGATATCTTTTTTTAATCTTATTCAATAGTACATATGCTGTTTTACCTCTGTCAGTGAGATAACAGTCTTTAAAGATTTTAAATATTGTCTTATTGATTTAAAGATTTCAAATATTATCTTATTGGTTTAAATTTTCAAAAAAACGAATAAAAAATACGTTTTTATTACTTATAATACAAGTAAATATATATGCACGAAACGATTTCTTTTAATATAATCTATCGGTTGAATTTTTTCACCAATTTATAATCGTTTTATATATTTGCGCGAACGACAACTTCTTTCTGTAATCTTAGAAACAAAAAAAAAATTAATATTGTGATAGACGATAATTATATCTATCTTCTAATATTACATAGAATTTGATATCTACATGAGAAGTCTTTTAGTTAATGATTTTAAGTCAAGTAATGAATTTGCAAAATTCAAACATAGTAAATTATTTCACAGATTTGAAAGTCTATTCCTCATAAGCTGTTCATATACAACTTGTAATCAAAATTTAGTACTATAACGGAATTTTACAAGTTATAACAGATATTTCCTATATATAGCCAATATTCCTAAAGCGAACGTACTATCTATTTTAGCTGGAATCAAATAGTTCTCAGTATTTCATCATTTACTAACGATTAAAAGCAAAACTTTGATATACTATCGAGAACAAATTTGTTCAGAATTGTCAGATCTATTACATACTAGCGATTCAGTTATAATAGATGAACTATATTGTTATTGCACTGTTTTAGTTTCATGCAAGTATTTATCAGAAGAGAAAAATATAAATATTAATAGAAAACTTTTCATCAATTTTTATTATTCGCGTATTGATAGATATGAAATTGGATGGTGCTTCGGGATATGTAGTCTTTCTTGTGAAATCTTTTTGTTAAAAAAAACATTGCTATCGATATTTATATTTTTCACTTTTGATAAATGCTCGAATGTAACAAAAACAATGATGTAATAACATAGTTCTTCTATTATAGCTGAACCGCTAGAATATGATAGAGTTGAAGATAGAGAATCGAATGATATCAATTGTAAAGGTTTTCGTTGAAATCTCTAGACAAAAATGAATACATTGTTCACTTATTCTGTACTGGTGCGTTCGCTTTAGGGAAATGCACATAAAGTGAAACGTTTTCAATTTTTAATTTTCTACCGCTCATTAACATAACAATAAACTATTTAAAATTGCTTCCAACAACAGAGCACAAATACTCTTTTAAATTAATATTAAAATTTAAAAATCATCCCTTTGAATACCTTCTAACGAAAATTGCAGTGAAGATAAGTTTTGTTACAAAATATTTCAATGAAAGAAATAATTTAAAGAAAAAAGATCCTATTGATAAAATATATGTATACGATAATGAGCGTTTTAGTATTCAAGGAAAACTATCGATGCGTCATTACCATCAATATTTCAAACTATCTAAAAATCAATAAAGAGAGATAGAAAAAAACAACTCACTTGTATGATTCTCTATTTTTATTGCTTTCTTTTCTTTATTTTGCTGTCATTGCAATAAAACATAAATTTAAAAGAAGTGTATTCTGTTCATTATCTCTGTCATGGCATTGAATATTGCTGTTCGACCTCGCTTTCATTTTTTTTTCAAGATATTTATTGGACTAGCAAGAAATAAGAGGAAAGAAACGAAAAGAAGAAATAGAAAAATGGTCGTAGTGTATCAGTGTTGACTGACTCATACAGGTGATATATTGAACTTAGTAATTGAATTGACGGAATGCGCACAAGACGCACGACAAGACAAACAACAAACGATGACGATGATGATGATAGTGATAATGTGTATGTATTAGATTTATTAAATATATTTAACAATACAAAAATATTGTCTTAATTATTACAGCATAGTGGAAACTCCAATTGACGAGATACGGAAGAAAATTGAATCAATAGAACAAGAAATCAATCGACGATTTGAACAAATTGATCATGATCTCGATTCTTTGAAAACTGCTTCAGAGAAAACTCGTGCAGCTGAATGTAAAGAAGATGAACGTTTTTTAAAACTCTGTCATGCTGTAGATTATATTCTTGAACATACTGATAATAATTATGAAACATTAGCATGTCGTGAAATGACTTTATCGTTACTCGGTCAAAGGTCAGGCCGGCCATTTTCCGGACGTACAATTCGTAATCGACTAATATGCCGACGAATGAAAAGTTGGTGTTTATTTAATTTTTTAATACTCTTCATTGTAATTTGCATGTCTATTTATGGATTACATCGTAGTTGGTGTTATCTATTCGTAGTCATCTGTCTATTAGGATCATTATTTTCGTCAATAGGTCTTCGTAAAATTTATAAAATTATCGACACCATTTGGTGATGTTTTAAATCAATTTTTTGTTCTATTTACAATATATATATCTCGTTTTCATACAGATTTATTTTTCTTTCGTAATATTACATTTGACCAAAAATAAATGGATTGTAACAATGTTGGTATACGATTCAATATAACTAAATGACTATATTCTTTAAAAATACAATTATCTATATAGTCATTCATGCTAGCAAGAATTGAGTGAAATTAATAATATGATTTTATAGCCTTTACATGATAAACTGATAAGAAAAACATTTTTCATTACTATTGTAGTATTGTCTTTCATTATAATCTAGTTTTTGAATACAATATTTATAAATAGAACTCATGTTACCCTCTCTTTCTGATATTAGTTAGATATGCAATGTTATGAATGCTTAAGTAGGTTTCTGAATCGATTATAATAGCATATTTATTTCTACATACAGAGCATATAATAGAATAAAATAGATTATTTGTCAATCTCAATGATAATATGGATGATATTAAAGTTTATACATTCGTTGAAGATAATGATCGAGTAGATTTACGTGCCACAGTTGTTGGTAGTAATATATCGCCGTATGCATTATGTGTCTTTTGTAAACGAACAAGATCTTCAATTTTAAATTCAACTTCATCTATACCTGTTGTTTTATATTCATCATCCTCTTGTAATGGTACTAGTATTAAATTAAAAACAATAAGAATGATTATTATAATTGACTTACATTGTTGTTTTGGTATAAATACAGGAATAGTTCCATAAATTGTTTCAGAATCATGTCCACTCATTTCACTTGTGGTAAAACTAATCATATCATTAGATAATTTCGAATGATGTTTTATTGCTAATTTTTTATTCAGATTAGATGAAATAGGATTATCTTGTTGTATTTTCGATTGTTGTTCATTTTTTATATTTCGGCGAAATAATAATGGATTCTCATTCTTCCAATCTATTAAAGAAATTATGAAGAAAATAGAAATATTGAAGAGAAGAAATATACGAGGATCATCTGTTTGTTTTTCAATTGTCGCAGTTATTGGTTTAGAAAATGTTTGAATTTTCTGATTATGTGGTATAGGTTTTTGTAATAAATTTCTTTTTATATAATAATTTTTTGTTTTATTAATTATATAGTTCTTAACAATAGTATCTTTAATATGTTCTGCTGGATTATCTGATATTATATGAGATGCAGAAGTTGTTGAACGGGGTCTATTTAAGTTCATAAGAAAAATTTTTATATTTTTTAAGAAACAAATTACTTGTTAGGAAAAAAATAAACATCATCAATATTTTGTCTTGCTATCACATAAGATTTTCCTCTCTGATAGAAATCATCTAAAATTATCGGATTTGCATAGATATTCTGAGCAAAAAAGATCATTACTAGTATTTATATTGTAAGAAGGTAATGCTATTGTTGACACATATTGATTGTGAGTAGAATCAGAACCAATCAATCTTGTACGTAATGATTTTTGCTAAGAATAATAATACAATATGTTTCATTTAAAAAAATATAATTACGTCTGTGTCATATTGATGATGATGTCGATTTCGACAACAGTATGATAAAAGAGATAATAACATTTAAATTGACCAATTGCAAATAATCAAGAATAAATTCCAAATAATACTTACACTACACTATAAGTTGGCCATGGTACTAAACCTTGATTGAGTGTAACAAAATTACTTATGATTTCTAACAAGTCCTTCTAATCGATTTATATATAACAACATTCTTTTTATTTCTTTATATTTTACACAGACAAATTAGTTTTTGATGAGGTAATTAGAGATTAATGTTACGTCTCTTTACACCTGTTTTATTTAATCTATGTCAATAAAAAAAGAACAGTATGTAATAGATACTTTTGTTCTTACATAAATTTTATCTTAGTAAATAGAAATTGATTTGAAAAAATGTCTTTCTCTCGCTCTCTCTCTGTTTCTTTCTTTTCATAGAACGAAGAAAGTTGTTTATTACACATGATGATTGTTGCCGGGATATTGATTAAATGAACTGCTGAATGGTGATGCTGTAAAATGTTGTGTTTGTCCACCAGAAAATAATTTTGATAACACACTTTGACCAGAATTGTTTGAATTTTGTTGAGGTTGACCGAAAAGATTCGATGCAGCACCCTGGACAGGATTGTATGAATTTTGTTGAGGTTGACCGAAAAGATTCGATGCAGCACCCTGACCAGGATTGTATGAATTTTGTTGAGGTTGACCGAAAAGATGCGATGCAACACCATGAACAGGGTCGTATGGAGTTTGATGAGAAGGATTGAAAAGATGTGATGCAACACCACGTACAGCTGGTGATGCATAACCATGATTATTTGTAGTCGGAGAATGATGTTGTATAGCATCCCAAACATGTTGTACAGAATGATTATCATTTGTATGTGATGCAAGTGATGCAATTTTTGGGTCTTCAAGAAGAAGTCGACATGCCGAAACAACTTCGCCAACAGAATGTGGTTGCTGATGTGGATGATAAGGATATGGATGATGAGGATTTGAATGATGTGAAAGCACGGGGACACCATATTGAGCAAGAGCATCATTAACTTGACGAATTTCACTAAGAGATAATTCAGCAGCAGATTTTGGATGAATGCCATGATGACGATGGCATTGATGATGATTATGATTATGATGATCATGATTATGGTTATGATTATGATGATCATGATGATGATGATCGGAACAATGATGATAATCGGTATCATCATGATCGGAACAAGAAACGTAATCGATATATTTATGATGTTTAGAGCAATGATCATTATCAAAATGATGACGATGACAATTATTTGAAAGAGCTGTTTGATATTTTGGTGATGTTATTCCTTCATAACTATAATCATCGAGTACAGAAGCACGTGTTAAGCCTTTATATGAACAACGATGTTTTGGTGTATGATGTGTCATAGCTATATGACATCGATTTTTTGATAAGCAATCGCGTATACAATTTTCTAATTGGAAATATTTACCAGCGCCCAAATATGTAGTATGCCCATCATGCGTATCGACTTTTTCGAAAATACTTTGATTTGTTTTTCCGCTTCGTAGTTGTGATGTATATGTTGTTGGTGATTTATCATGTATCAAATCACGTGCACTAACTCGATTTAAAGCTCTAGTTGCCATTTGTTTCGGTTCAGATGCTTGTGTTGTTCGATTACTTATTTGTCTACTGTAATTATTTTTTTCTTGTGACGGTACACGACGTAAAGCAGGCTTTTGAAAATTTGATTGATTAGTTGCTTTTGTTCCACTTGAACTACTAATAGTTGGTCTGGCAACTGATTGAATAGGAGAACTACTAGCAGCTGATGCTGATTCTGATGCTGTTCCTGATTCTGACGATGGTGTAGGAGATTTTATAGGTGACTTTGCGGGCGAACGTAGAGTTGCTGGAAGAGGAGGTGCTGGTGGAACTAAATAGATTTTTCAAACCAAGGACACATATATATGTATAATTGATTATATACTTGATAGTTCTTTAAACTAACCTTTGCTAGACTGTTCGCTTTCTTCAGTGATCGATGAACGATGAGATAATCGTCCGCTTATACCAGTTGTTGGTCCTGTACGTACGGATCCTGTGCGTGTCGATCCTGCGCGTACTGATCCAGTTTGAACTGATGATTCCGACGGAGACCGTGCTGATTGTCGTGCTTCACTTAACATCGGTTTTCGTGTAGTAAAGTAGAAGTACACTGATATTTCGAATATAGTATATACAATCTAAGAGAAGAAAGGAGTCAACCTTGTTATTATAGTATGCATTAGTTGATAAAGTATGTCCTTCAAGAATAACAAAAGCCTTCATTCCCTCTTTTTTTTCTGTATCTTATTAAGTAACCGTACGTAAAATATTATTGTTTTCAAACTAATCGATGTGGCCCTGCGTAGTTACAATGATGCGATAGTCAGACTACTGAAGGGGAAAATAGATGGCCATGAACAAGGTAAATCGTAAATATTATATACCGTTGATACGCTTCGAAGCATTTTTTTTCTTTTTACTATTTTATATCAATACCATTACAAATCTTCGACCTTCATCTAATATTATTTTATTCGTGTGTCATTTGTTTTTTCAATAAAAAGACAGAGAAAAATGTTATATTTGAATAAAAGAGGAATGGAAAAAGGAAATAGATATATATTTATATATTAATATTTATTTATCACATCGTGTATCCAATCAATATCTGTTGAAATCGATGCAAATGCATTATCATGATTAACACGTGGTGAACATTCATCAAGACCAAAACTAGCAACACCAAATATATGCCATTTCCAATCAGTTTGATTATTATTTGATTTAATACCAGCATGTACCATTAAACCAGTACCTGAATCTCCACTACATATATTATTTCCACGTTCATTTCTTCCACATATATGTATATTACGATCAATCATTAATTGTCGACATGCTCTCGATGAAATTTTTAGTCTTGCTTTTCGAGGTTCATTTACTGCTGTTGAACCTGGTGATGCATGACCCCAACCAGCAGTAAATGCTAATGTACCATCAGTTAATTTATCTGTACGATCTGGTAGGCACGCGATACCAATCGACCGTGATAATGGGACAGGTTTAGCTAATTTAATCAATGCTAAATCATGAACAGGTGCCGGTGAATATTTAGTAATACGAAATTTTGGATGAGTAACATATAAACTAGGTCTTGTTATATATTCATTTAGACTTGTACTTAAACGATCATAATGACCCATATATAAAGCAATACCACTTGTTGGATAAAGACGATCTGTTTTACTATCAAACATACAATGAGCGGCTGTTACAATCCATTGCGGATGAATTAATGTACCACCACAGAGTGTTACTATACGTGAAAATATGTCCGTACGACTTTCTATTCGAACCTGGAGAGAGAAAAAAAAGTTTTATTTTATTTATTACGTTAGAAAAAAAAATACTTACAAGCCAAGGATATTCAGCTGGACGTAACGTATTTCTAACACCTGTACTAACTTTTAATTGTAAAGCTTTATTTATTATTGAATATTTGCTATTATCAATCATTCCACATTGACTAAAATTGTATTTTTTTGTTGGCTCATGTTCATATAAATTGGTACTATTTATTATTGAAACACAATTAGGTCCTCCACAAGGTTCAACAATCATTCGTTTTTCAGCATTTAGTGTACGAAAATTAAAACAATTATGACATGTTGGAGAAGACTAAATAAATATATATTAGAATAAAATATTTTACTAACAAACAAAAAAATAATTCTACGAACTATTTCATCTATTGAATTCGATGATCGAGAAGGCATCTGAATAACATGTCGAGTACCATCTGGCAATGGTATAGATAGTGACCATGATGATGATGATGATGCCTGAGCATGATTCTATGATTTAATAAATTTTATCAAAAAATAATTCTAGGTTTTGTTTGGAACTTACACTATAATTCACAAGGATTAATAATAACAATAATACACGTATAAACATTTTATCGTTGATGCGCATTTGAGACTATGTAGTATCATATAATAGAACAAACTAACTTTAGTCTCTCGATTATAAACTTGTTCTATCACGTAGGTCTCTTTTTTTTTCGTTTTTCTTCCACATTCCATTCCATTCGTCATCCTTATTCATAAGATGAAACATACATCGTCATGTAATTCAATGCCTTGTTTTTAATTAGTACTACAATAAATACTTGTCTTATCAGTTTTCTTCGACGCACATATAGTGCATGATGTCTACGCGGTTTAGAATAATAAATAAACGTAAAAACAAAATTCCATCAAGATAGTTGAAATACATTCTTTTTTTATTTGTCATTTAATACGAATTAAATATTAAAATAGAGAAAAAAAAAAGAAACCTAATTATCAATAGATGATTTAAGAGTTTTTAGTTCTTCATCATTTATTTTTAATTCTGTTTTGGTTTGTTTTTTAGATTGAAAATATAAACGCCAAAGTTGAATGATATGTCCACCCATTAATACACATAAACACAAGATTACTAACCATGCCTAGAATACAATTTGCAATTTTGAATATTATATAAAAAGAAACCGATAGAAGGTAGAACTTACTCTCCATGCATATGTTGGATTAGTTGCGAGACGTGTTAAACCATAAGTAACAAAACTAACAATGCCAGCTGTTGTCCACATCAATCCAAGAAGAGTACCAATATATTGAGGTGGAAATCTTTACAAACACAAAAATACACACATAATGAAAATACAACATTTTCGATATATTTTTACGTTGTACAAATAACTGCTTGACATCCAGTAACAAGCATTGTACGTGAAACAAGAAAAATTGCTATAGCAGTTAGAGCAGCTGTTACTGATTGAAGCATGCAAATAATACAAAGTATTATAGCTGCTACCCATGTAATTGTTTGTACAATCGAAATATTAAGGATTTGTTGAGATTTGCCTTCATAAAAGAGAAAAATATAAAATAAAAATTAAACTTTTTCACATACCTCGATTTGCTTTAAAATCAAGTATAAATCCACATATTGGTGCAATGAATATACTCAATACTGCACTCATATTAAATATGAATGTATAGCGATTTGCTAGAAAAGAAAAATCAAATTAAATTTAAATTAAGAATAATATTGATATCTACATAGTTTTATATTATTTCCAGTTAAATGCATAATCCATGGAAACCAAACAACAGGTAAAAATGATACTGTCAATAGTAGACAACTAATAAAAAGTGTCACAACAACAAAAAGTGGATTAGTTAAATGTCGAGCTAAAGAATCTTCTTTCTGGTTTATTTCAACTAAAAACAATATTGTAACAAAAAAAAATACGATTTAAATTGAAATGTAATTCAATTTTTACCTTCATTAGTAGTTGATTTTGTTTTATTAGATGTCTCAGTACATTTAAAATGCCAATCAAAAAATAGCATTGCACTACATAACATAGGTAATGCAAATGAAGCCCAAATAAATGACAATGTTGATAGAGAAATCCAATCTTTTTCAATTAAAACCTATTTTTCAAAAATACTGATTAATATATATAAACATAAAGTCTTTTACTTGAAATATAGCAAACCAAATCGACCCACTATTCTGTGCACCACTTATTAATGATCTAAAAATCCCGAAATTATTAATTCTTCTATTATAAATGTACATATACTCACGTAACTAAACCACGTGTTTTAGGAAAATTCGATGCGATTGAAAATGATGATAATAAAATACACATTCCAGCGAGAGCTGAAAATACTGTATGTAATAATATCAACCAATCATAACCTAATTATCGAGAGTGAATTTTTGTCAAGAAATTTTAATTAAATAGAATATTACCCGGTTGTAGAAATCCAAGTGATAACCAACTGATTAAGTGCAAAGCACTATAGAAAGATATATAAATAATAAGAAATTTAAAATAATCAGTTTTTTTTACATTCCAACCATTCTCAATGAACGAGGTCCAAAAAAATCTCCAAATATTCCAATAACAACTGCTGGTAAATTGAAAAAACCAATACCCAATGCAAAAGCAAGCTAAAAATCGATCAAATATTTATTTTCTATGATTAATTATTGATTTAACCTGATATTCATCAATTTGTCCTCGACAATCTGATGTAATCGTTGTTGTAACATCTGAAATTGCTTTTTCTGATAAAATCTTACAACGAGATTCATATATTTTATATCGCGGTAAAACACTGAATAACGATGCAAATCCAAATATACTATTTATTGAAAAAAACGAAATGTTTTTTTTTTTATATAATCCTTTTTAATCTCTATACATACTTTCCAGCAACTAGATTACATTCAAGAAGAGTCCAAATAAGTCCAACGATTTTTAAACGTGATCCAGCGTTTGATTCGCTTGTGCTCTATAATTATGTATTATATTCAAATTATTATATCATGATGCTTTTTCTTTACCTTCACCATCGTAGAAGAAAAAAACCCGTTATAATAAAATAGGTATACCACGAAGGTTAGTAAGGGTTAGATAAGAACGAGATGTATGTCTGATAATATTACAGTATGATACTTTCTCCTTGATCCTAGAATAAATTATCACCAATAATTTATTTTACAAACTAAGAAAGAAAAAGAAAGTACCGTTGGTATGCCTCGTTAGTTAAAAACGTAGCTGTACAAAAAAGAAGAAGAAGAAGAAAGTCGAAGCTAAACCTTGCATATACATTATCAATAGCGAGAGAAGAAAAAAAAAGAAAGAAAGAGAAAAAGAGCAGATTGCGGTTATTTGGCAAAAATACTTTGTGATATTTTTGTCCTTCTAGTTTAGTCGATGATAAAGAATGACATTTGATCTGATCCTTATTCGACTTGTCTCAGGAATATTTTTATACAAATATCTGCATAAAATTTTTCAATTATGTTTATATAACCGATAGTTAACTGTCAACAAATATAAAAATTATAATATCAATAACCTTGAGGAAAGAAATATTTTATGATTTGTTTCATTGAGGTGTCATATCGAATCATAACCTACATATATATTCATTAAATATTTTAATTTCAACGTAAATCTTATTACAAGTTGAAAATCTTTTTGTTTTGTTTTTATTTTATTTTTATCATAATCAACAAAACACCAAAATTTTATAGAAAAAAAACAGTCGAAAAACAAAATTTGGTGTTACTGTTCGTTCGTATTTTCTTCTTCTTTTGTTACGTTTTAATTAGATGATAACAGAATTTCTTTGCAATTTGATGCTAATTGTCGAACCATATCACTTTCATTTGTTTGGCAATTTACTAGTGATTGTTCAGTTTGTTTTTTTACATCATCAGATAATTTTGAAGCAACTGCTGTTAAACAATTTTTTAATGCTAATAAATAAGTTTCTCTAGAAAAACAAAAAAAAAGATGAATGAATGAAACAAAAAGAAAGAAAATTTATTACTTAAATGATGGATCATCATTCATTTTTAATCCATTTAGAAGTTCAACAAATATTGGATCGATTCGTACATGTATTTGACTAAGTAATCCAAGAGCATTACCAGCTTTAACACGAACTTGACGTGCTGGATCGTTGAGACCTTTAAGAAGTGTGGGTTGAAGTTGAGGTAAAAATGGTTTTAATTGTACACCAACCTAAATTATATTTGTTAAAATATGATACTATCTAATTGATTTTTAACTTACTTTTCCCATAAATGTACTTAATGTTTCAAGAATAGCCACTTTAATATCGGTACTAAATCGTTCACCTAATACACGAATTAATGGACCTGTAACGTTCATAATCGATGATTTAAGTGCTTCAGCACTATAAAATAAACAACAATAAATAATACTTAAAAAACAAAAGATGAAATATTTACTCAGATAGATTAATTGCTTCGTTCAAACCATTAGCACCTGATTCACGTAATTCTGGCGGACCATTAAGAATACATTCTTTATAGATTGGCAAAATACATCCAATACCCTATAGAATAAAACTCAAAATTCAATAATTAAGATATTTTTAAAAATTTAACCTTCTTCGGTAGACATAAACCAACAAGTCGACCACGTTCTCGACTATTTGATTGTGCAGTACGTAATGCTTGTCGAACAATTGGTAAACGTTTTTGTAATTCCAATGAATCGAAATCCTTAAGAATCGTATCAATACAATCCCAGGCTGTATTAAGTATTTGCTCATTTTCATCATTTAATAAATTAATACTAATACGAATAACATCATCGATATAATCTTGATATGTACCTTTAGCTTGTTTACAAAATGATAATAATAATTGACTTGTTACTAAACGATTATTAACTTTTGGTGAACGTGCAAATTCTTGTAATTCTTTTATTATTATTAATATACCATCAGGATCATTAATCTAAATTGAAATTTTAAAAAAAGACATTTTTTGGTAAAAAAAAACTAACTGCTGAGATTAATTGTTCAGCATAATACATATGATTTTGTCTAGCTTCGGGATCTTTTTCTTCAGCAATATGTGTTACAACAGCTTGAATAATTCGATTTAAATGTTTTGCTAATGAATCACCAGCGACTAATGTTAAACTAGCTAATGCTTTAATATCAACTGGTGATTGAATAAGATGTGGAACAAGATATGGTAATACAACACGAGATTTTAATTGCATTATACGTTGTAATGCATCAAGAGCATGATCACGTTCACTATCGTCCTGATCTTCTGATTGATTTGTAGTTTTTCCATTTGGTACAGGATCTTTTTGCATAGCATTTAATAAATATGGTAAAATATCATCTAATGCTGGAGTACCAATACTTGAATGAAGATTTTCGAAAGTTTTAGCAGCAGATTGACGAACTTCGACTAATGGATCGAGTAAAGCACGTCGAACAGTTGGGATAATTGTACTTGAAAAAGCGATAATCTAAGAAAGATAAATAGGATTTAAACAAATGATGAAAAATATTTTAATTCTTACATAATCTCGACTGCATGCTGTCATAATTTCACTAAGACCAATACAAACACCTTGTCGTTGATCACTTTTTGGTGAATCAAGACCTTTTTCAAGAATTGGAATTATTTCTGGTAAAACACGTTCACCTAATTTTCTAACTAAATCACCCAATGTTCTTGCAGCAATCTAAAGAAAAACACAACAATAAATAACTAAATAAATAAAATTATCTAATACATACTTGTCGTTTATCATAATTTGAACTTGCTAAACAACCCAATAAAGTGGTAAATAATGTTTGTAATATTTCTCTTAATGTACGTGGTGTATTCGATATAATTGTCTTCCAAACATGTAAAGCTGATTGCCGCACTGTCAGAGCAATATCCGATCGACCCATATATAAACCTATTTAGATTTAATAATTATCTTATATCATGACAACAACAACAAAAAAATTCTTACCAGATAGAACTATATCACGTCGATCGCGACCTAGTGCACCTGTGATTGCTTGTAAACCATATTCAGTACCAAAGTTATCATCTTCATCAACACTTTCTGTTGTTGCTTTTCCAGTTACACCCGAAACTTTGAATAAAAGTTCTCCAAGTAATAAAACTGAACTATAACGGATACGCCAATTATCATCGAAAAGACCTCGTTCAAGTTCAGGTACGAATAATGATATAGCTGTTTCAGCATAACTATTAACAATACGTTGACCAGCTTTAAGTGCTGTATCACGAACGAATTCTGTTTCATCAGCTAAACCCTAAGAAAAGGAGAAACGAATTTTGTTTTTATTATAAGAAAAAAGTTTCTTATTACTTTTAAGATTGGTGGAATAATTTTTCCTACATAGGGAATAAATTTCTCTCCAAAACTAATTGGTAAATAGATAAACATCATCATATAACCATCACGAACATGTGCAGCTAGATCAAGTTGTTGTGAACGATCAATAATTTCTTTCATAGATTTTTCAAGACGATCAGCACCAAGACCAAATATAACTTCACTTAAACCTTGTGCAGCACCTGAACGATCAACTGGACTTGATTCAAGTACAAGATGTTCCATAAGCCATGGAACAATTTCTTGAAATGCTTCTTCACCCATTGCACGTACCATTGAACCGAGTGCATGTGCAGATACAGCACGAACTTCAGGAACAGGATCAAGTAAAGATGTTTTTAAACCAGGAAGAATATTTGCTAAATATGGAGCAAGATCCTAGAAAATAAATTTAGAATAAAATATTTTCAGTTGATTATTTTTTCTGTACTTTTGAATCAGTTAATGAATAAATATTTCCGATAATTTGTGCAGCCATTTTTCGTGTTTCTGTTGAACGATTTTGAAAAGCACGTTCAATAACAGGAATAATCAACGCAAGTGATGGAGCATCAATAAAATGAACGAAACGTGTTTGAATTAATATTTGTAATGATGCTTGAGTTTTTTTAGTTGGCTCTTGTAATGCATCGAGTAGAACAGGAACAATTGCTAGAAATTAGTATAGATATAAATATACATATATATTGATTTGTAGGTATATACCTTGAATTTCAGGATTTTTGATTACTGAACCTATTTGTTTCAATGCTTGAGTACCACTTTTTTGTACACGTTGATGAGAATCAGTAAGTACTTCGATTAATTTTGGAACAATACTTGGTAAACATGTTGATAATTGTTTTGGAGCACAATGAGCCATGGCACCTAGAAAATTCAATGTTTTTTAAATCATCAAATGCTGCACGAATGTTTTTCTTACCAAGTAATTCAACAGCTCCACATTTTGTTCGCCATAAATCTGATTCTAATCCTTTGAGAAGTCCTGGTAAAACAATTTTAACACCATGACTTGTTAATTTGCTCATAATTGCTCTTGCACAATCTTCTGCTGCATCACGAACTTTAGCATCATTATCACCAAAACATAATAATAAATTAGGTAATATATTAACAATATATACTTCAAATAATCGACCTAACATTGATGTTAACATTTCTATACCGAAAAGTGCACCTAAAAACAAATAAACAATTTTTTTTTCTTGAATTAATCAATTTATTTTGTGAAATAAACCTTCTCGTCTTTTAGCATTTGATTTATCTTGAATGGCTTCAGTTAATTCAGTAAGAACATTATATTGTTTAACAGCCAGAATACCTAAACCTTTAATAAAACCAGCTAAACCATAAGCAGCTCCTAAAACACAAAAATAATATAAAATTCAATAGTAAATTTATTAAAACCTTTTTTCTCTGCATAATCTTGTGATGAAAGTAAACAATTAAGTAATTGTTGAACATAAACACCAGCTTCATCTTTAACAGCTGCAACTAATGGTGGAAGACAATCAGCTACAGCAGCTTGTACCTAATAATATAATTGTATGTTTTAGAAAAAAAAGCAAATATTATCTTTTAATTTACTTGTTGTGATGGAGTATTTAATGTTGATATAAGTTGTCCAAGAATATTCTTTACTTTTGTACTATCTTTATCCATATCCTTAGCTAATTTACCCATAAGAATAACAACACTTTGTCGAACAGAATCATAATCAGCTGTTTTAGGTGCTTCTTTAAGAAAACCTTCCATTATTTGTAATAACATTGTTAAATTTTCCTATGAATAATAATAATTGAAATAGAAAATAATATAGAGAAAATTTAAATACTCGTCCATGAATATCAATGGTTGTTGTTGCTGCACGAAGCATATCATTTCGAACATCAAGATTTCGATCATTTAATGCTGTTGGAACATAAAATTTAAATAAATCTTCAATATGATCACCAACAAATGATGCCATATGAAAAAGACATACAGCTACACCAGCACGTGGTTCCCATGTATCGACTGGTTTTGCTTCAAGTTGTCGTCCAAATTGATCAACTGCTTGTGGTATAAGCTAAATTTATTATTTCGAATTATTTATATATATATATATATCAATAGATTTTAAAACTAACTTTATTATTTTTAGTATAAATATCAAAAAGATCATTGAGAATAAAAGGAATTAATTGAGGATGTGATGTTTCTAATAGTTTTGGTAATGCAATTGTAGCTGGTTCACGGACTGGCATGCTAGGATGAACAATATCTTTAAGAAAATCTTTTACATTTTCAGCTTTCACAACTAATTTTGTTTGTGGCCACAATCTATACAAAAACTTGTTTAATCGAATTTAAAATATATATATATCAATATCATACTCAGTAGCAATAGTCTTCACTCGTTCTTCTAAATCTTCACAAGCAATTAATAATCGACGTGCAATATCAGCTTGAAGTGTTGGATGTGCTGTATTTAATTGAGTAACTAATTTTTTTAATGACTATTAAATAAAATATGGATAATAAAAGATTTAATTCTATGAAAAATAAAAAAAACTTACAAGAATACAACTTTCTCGTACACTTGGAATAGATGATCGAAGATTATCAAGTAAAACTTGAATATCATCATCACTTTCATATGTGCAACATAATTCACATAATTTTGTAAGTAATTCAGTTGCATCATTCTATTTTAAAACAAAATTCAATTATTTTTTATTCAATTAAAATAAAATAATTTACTTGAACTTGTACAGATTTTGATACAGCATTAATATCAAGAAATAAACGAATAAGATCACGACGTGGTAATAATGACGGGTGATTCTAAAACATAATTAGACATTTTATAATGAAATTTATCGTCACTTGACGTAAGTAGAGGTGTAAGTCGTGCGACTGTGCGGTCACCGCTGACACCCATCATAAATATCGATCTTCTTATTTATATTTTCGTTAATTCCGCATTAATTAAAATTTCTAACTAATCGCTTCATTTACTTATGCCTACTATTATAAACTTCAAGCCGCTGTGCCGTCGATGGTATTCAAAATTTTCGAGTCACCATCGCCGCCGATTACCCTATCGGCTTACACCTTTAGAACTAAGTATATTGGCGACATTCGGGAATACCGAAATAAATCAATTTCAGAGCGTTTTTCATGTACATCAGATAAGGAAACCAATAATTTTATATCTTACATCAGGATCTGCAGTTGAAACAACTGAAAAATATTCCCGACAAATGTTCAGTATTAATGTAACCCATTCATTTTTACATTTTGAATAACTAACAATATTCTAAAAGAAAAAGTCATGTATTGAAATACGATTATTATAAAATTTGAAAACAAACTTTAAATAAAGGTAGACAATAATCTAGTCGAGCAATTGATAATTGCATAAATGTTTTAGCTTGTTGAGTATTTTCATATAAACGTTGAAGTAAACGTTCAATAGCTAATAAAAGATCTTCTTGAAGCCAACGTTTTTCTATTTGTTGATTAGTAGTTGATGGATCACAATTGAGGCGAATTGCTAGATTTGCAATAGCATAACCTTGAAAAAACAAAACAAAAATAAGTAAATCAATATTATTATTATTATTATTATTATTACCAAATGTATCTTTGTCATTCATAAATACAATTGGTACGAGTGTAACATATAAATCTTTAGCATAATTAAATGCTAATGGTGATTGTAATGCTGGCCAAACATGAATAACAAGTTCACCAATATACGGTATAAATTGTTCTTGTGTACTTTTGATAATATTTGTTAAAAGTTCAAAAATATTTTTCGCACTTTCATCAATCTAATTGGAAGTAAAAATAAAGATAATTTGATATGAAAAATGAAATCTTGATTTAATCATACTTTTTTAATATTATCACGTATTGTTTGTTCTTGATCAAGTTGTTGTTGAAGCATTTCTTGTTGTTTTTTTGTTAATTGTGGTGCTTCAGCTTTTTGTTTAGCTGCTAATTCTTTTTCTAATTCTCTTGCTGCCATTTGTTCTTTATACGAATAATTTTTACTTTCTCTTTTCACATTTCCAGTATCTTTTGCTTCATGTTTCAATATCCTAAAAAAATTTGATAGATTTTATTCGAATAGAATCGCTCTATACACATACGTTTCCATCACAGTTTTATCATAAATTTGTCCTGCAGGTGTTTTCATTATTTCATAAGATTTTTTATTAACTGATAAATAACGATCGGTTTCAAGACGTTGATAAGCAATTTGAAGAAATGGTTTTAAAAACAGATTTGGTCTTAAAGAACAGAGAAGACCAATTGCCGATATTTGATTCTAATAAAATAAAATATTTAAGAAATATTTAAAAAAAAATGGTAGTATTACTTTTTGTATTCGTTGATTTTCGGTACAAGCTTTTACGAGTAAATCAACGTTATTTTTAAAGAAATTTTCGATTTCATTTTGTTGTTTATCAAATATATGATAAAGAAATTTTAACCAAAGTTTTTCATCGGTTAATACAAGTTGTGAACTTAAACAAGAAACAAGTAATGCTCGAACACAAAGCATAATTTTTGTTTTTTCATCTTGCGTTCGCATTGATTTAGCTAAACATAATAATGTTTCTTCAAGACCTTTCGAAACGGTTGTTGATTTCATTTCATCTCCTGAGTCATTCTAAAGATAAAAGAATGAGAATTATTCGAAATATAATAATATTTTCGTTGTTTACAGTCAATTGAAAATGATCAAAATATGTTTCTAATGCATTTAAAAGTGCTAAACTAATATCCGTTTCATTCGAACGTAGATTGTTAACAAGACGACGAATGATATCGTATGCTGATTTTCGTACTTCATATGATGAATGTAAAATTAAATGAATAAATGTTCGAGTGTATGGTCTAAAAAAATATAGTTTTTTGGTTTTAATAGCAAAGAAAATATTTTTTTTACCCGATATCTTGAATATGTAATGTTCCATGAAGTTGTTCGTATAATTGAAAGAAAACTCTGGCACCTGAAATCTTTTGATAAATTCATCGATAATTAATTAGATAAATACTACTAACCAGCTTGATTAATTTCTCGTTGAAATTTATCTGTTGTAAATATTTGTTTTTTACTATCGTTCAATGTCGACCATAAGGATGTCAATTTATTGTCTAATAAATAGAAATTCTTGGTTAATCAGAATAAATTCTTATTTTTAATCTTACCATAAGCAGAATTCATTTGAGCAATATTAATCATTATAAGTGCTGCTAATAATGCTTCATGAACACAAATAATCAATGTTGGTTGATTAAGACCACGTTCATAAGATGCCATTAATGTTGTATGTAATGGAATTAATGATGTTATAGTTTCCTCTATATTATAAAAAAAATAATTCAATTGAAATATTACTTTCTTATTTCTACAAATGTATCTTTAGTTAGTCAAGTTAAATGTGCTCCAGATTTGGAGTTTACAGATGTCTAACTTGTTGCAAAATGCTTTACCTGAAACCTGTAATCATCTGTTTTTGATTGTTCTAATAGATACTATGGACTGTGCTGAATTGACTGGTGATGTTCAAGAAAAAAAGCACACAGTTACAAGCTACAATTTCTCGTAAACTTCAAATTTGGAGCTCACTAACTTGACCGCTTTAGTTAAGTATGTATGGAACTTAAACTCATCACATATCTTCGTTATCTTTAGATGAAAAATATTTGATTCATGATAGTACGATCGTATACAAGAAATAGTTAACTCCTATTGTCTCTTAAAGCCAAACGGTATAGATTTGTGGAACTCAGATTCACAAAATCTTCACTTCTAATCTATAATAATGGTAGAATTAATTTAATAGATTTCTAACCTTTATATGTTGCCAACATACATTGAAGATAAGCTGTCCGTGTAACAGCTGTACTAGTTTTTTGTTCAAGTCCTTTCTAAAATAAAAACAAATATTACAAGATTTTTTTTATTTTAAAAATTTATTACCTTAAAAAAATCTGTTAATGTTTGATTAACACTAGTTAATCTTGAACACCAACCAGTCATTTGTTGTAACATATGACCAATAAGACCTTCATGTACTTCTTGTTGTATCATTGAATAAAAGTATTTATCAAATAATTTCAAAATATCTTCCTGAGATATATTTTTGCTTGGTGATCGACTTAATGCTCCAATTGCATTCAAAACATTTTCACGTTGACTTATCACCGATAATTTACTTACGGATGAATCAGTTCCTAATACAAAAAATATTCGATTTAAATAACAATAAACATATATATATATTCACAAACCATTAAGAATATTAAATAGATATTGAACTATACTTAGAACTGTTTCACCATTAGCAATTTGTTTAGCAAGAGCTTGAAATGAAGTTAATGCAGATGCTTCTAAACTTTCAGTTTTTGATACCAATGGTGCTGAATAATAAAAGAAAAGATATAATATAATTAAAATTTCCTAAAAATGAAAACTTCATCTTACGAGCTAGAAGTTTAGCTAATTCATTAGCAGTATAACTTAGATCGAATTGTAAATTACTAAGTAATGATGGTACAGCTAATTAAAAAAACAAGAAATTTGTTTTTTCAAAAATAATACGAAAATAAAAACCTTCGATGATTATTTCAGGATTACGAAGAAGTGATCGATTCACAGCTGGATAAACATTTGTTTTAAATGTTTCAATATCAATTGAACGTATAATTTCAGTACAAGGTTTTAATGCTGCATCGTATGGTTTTGTTCGTGTACCAAGAATTAATTTTGTATAGGAATCAATACCAACAGTCTAATAATAAAAACATTTTCTTTGAAATTATATTCGAAAGGAAAATTTTTACTTTAACTTGTTCATATAATGTTGGTTCAGTTGTTTTAAATCGATGTAACAGAGCACTGATCATACCCAAATGAGCTAAATCAAGTTCAGATATCGATTGTAATAATTTTACCCAACGTTCAGACACTTTTGGAACCTAAAAATACGATCGAATATCTGATTCGTTAGTAATTAAATTCCATACCTGTTTAAATAGATTTTTCAAACGTTTATCAACTAATTTCAATCCTAACGGTGTTGATAAATCAGCCAATATACTTGAGATATATCTCGAAAAGATCAATAACTAAAATCAAACATAATATATATATCTTTAATTCAATTCTATCCTACAGTTAATTTATCGATTTCTTCATCAGTTGTTACTCCTTGACTTGCAACTAAAATTCTTGACATATATAAAAATCCATAATCAGCTTGAACTCGTGCATTTCGACTATAGAATAAATAATTCGAAAATTTTCAATTTATATAATTCTCACATACTGTGGATGTACTTTACAAATCGTACGTGATTGTAAATCAAATGCATTAAGAATTGGTTTCAAAATTCTTTCTTTATATTTTCCAACAGCTGCATCCAAAAGTGTACTAAGTAAAACTCGTGATTTTGCTGTTGTATACGATGGAATTAATTGACCAATTGTATGTGCTAAGATTTTCAAAGCAGGATCTGGTAGATCTAAAGAATTTTCAATAAGAATTAAATCTTTTTTGTTTTCGTTTCGTCTAACATACCATCGGTTTGATTAGTTTTTAATGTTTCAACAAGATCATTAATAACATCAGTACGTACTTTTGGTGATGAACTCCAACTGTATCGAACAAAATTTTTTAATGATTCCATATTTTCTTTTTCTATCTAGAAATTCAATCGGTTGTTTAAAACTTGCATTATGAATAGAAAGAAAAAAAAACAAAATAACAATAAATAGATGATATACATTCTCAAATTAAAAAAGAAAACAACAGAAAAATTCTCTATTGTTCTGGTGTTTGTTGTTGCTGTTGTTGTTGTTGAAAACGTTTCATTAATTTTTCACGATCGGGTATTCCATATTCATCTGTATAATCAATTAAATTACAAAAAAGTGATGATTCAACCTAATAGAAAATATTTAGTTTTATCTTTTTGAAATATTTCTAATACATACTCCCATAACATAAGAACATGTTTCCGGTTCAACAAGATACATTGATGTTGCATGAGATTTTTCTGCATTTTTGGAACATCTTAAATAAAATAATTCGATTTGTTTTTTATTATTCTAATTGAATAATATACCGTAGTTTAACTTCAACAACACGTCGAGTTTTAGTTAATTCGCATATATCACCATCAGTGTAATATAAGGAAACAAATCTAAATTATGATTTAAAGAATACAAATAAATAAAGATTAAATATTTTATACTGTCGATCACGAATATTTCCAGCTAATCTCTTTTTTGGATTTGTATTTAACCATTCAATATGTTTATCACGATTCCATGTTCCAAGTAAAATTGATGTACGATGTTGACCTTCTTCCTTTAAAAATTAAAAAAGTTTTTTTTTCGTTTGAAGAAAATTAATTACATGAAATTGTATAACATGTTTGCCATAACATATTTCATATTTCCACCAACCACTTCCACCGGGTAAACATTCTCGACCAGACAGAAAACCTTCAAGAAAATCACGATCAACATCTGTACCTAAATTTCCCATTGGATGTTGTCGAACTTGTTGATCATTCGGTGTTCCAATATGTTCAGTTATAGTTGATGGTGTTACTTTATTTGTAACTGTTTCAGTTAATTCATCAAGATCAACGTCGCTTGCATATTGATATGCTATAATAAATGTTGTTCCGTCTGCACTTGTCATCTAAGAATAAATATGTCATGTGGTGTAATTACACAATCAAGAATTGCACAATCATGTGTATGTTTACCGTAAATTGTGCACGGCCACCTTTTTTTAATGACATTTGTCTTTCGTCTTCCAGTTTTTTTAAATTTCGAGGTTTCTGTCGAGCATTCTCTTTAGGATAACAATTTACACTATAACGATTTGGTTCTGCAGGACTATATGATGAGAAAAAAGCAAAGATATATTGATAGAAATAAGATCAAATCGATTAATAAACTAGAAAATTTGATTTTAATGAAGTCATTTAACTTCTCTTCAAGAAAATTATCGAAATTCTGTATTTTTCCATAGCTTATCGATGTATAATGTTGTAGTTATAGAAAATCAAACTTTAATTTTTTTCCCTTTCGAATAAATCAAACTAGTCAGCATGTATTTTACACCTTTTTACTTCTATGAAACGAATGAGTCAGTGTCGTTCTCTTTCTCTTAATTATTCGTGCTCGACAACGATTACTCGAAATCGCTAAAGGCTATTTAAATAAATCAAAATATTTATAAAAGAAAGCAAAGTACATGTGATGCAATAACATAACAAAGGTCATGATATTGACAAATGTATCTAAAATTATTTTCATTGACTTTACCTAAATGCAGGTAATTTACAAAGCCATCTCGATGCCACGGTCATTTCGTAATAACATGTTGAAATTTCTTCGAAATTCAATACAACATCATTACCTCTTTCATCACATACTAAACATCAATTAATAAAAAAATTCATCTATATATATATATATCAAAATTACCATAATAAACAATCGTTTCACGTGGTTGATTGGAATTAATATCACATAGTGTTCCACCTGAATATCGAACAGCTAGCATAGGTGTTTTTTTATTATCAATTGTTTTATAATGAATCTAAAAACATTCTCATTTCTCGATAAATAAATATATCCATAATTTCTTTTCAATTACTTTGAATACTTGTTTTCCATCAGAAGTAGTTTGAATATCTTGATTATCCGAATGATAATAACCTAAATAATATTCTTGAAGAAGTGATTTCTAAGAACAAACATATATAGATTAATTTATTCTCCAGAAAAGTTAAATTTTACTTGTCCTGCAACTTTTGTATCATGATATTGTCGAATATGTACACCATGACATAATTCATATGTCCAATACGGATCCAACTGAAAATTTGCTTTCAATAAAGAATTCATTTATTTCAATAATCTTACTCTATAAGCACATAATTTTTTTGCATGTAAACCTTCTAGTAATGTTTCAACTTCAGAAAATGCAATTGTTTCAGTAGATGTCTACAGATAAAATTTTATTTTCTTATAAAAAAATATTTCAAATGTCTTACTGGAATCGTTGTTTCAGTTTTTGGTAAGACACATTGATAGTTTTCTTTACGTGTAGATGTAAATGTATGACTATTATCAAGTTCAGTTAACTAAAAAAACAATTCTATTTGTATTCTACATAAAATTCTTTCCTTACAGCTGGTAATTCCGGTTGCCATTTAATATCATAAAGAATATCATCATCTAAGATGGTATTTGTCAATGGAATTAGATATAAAACCAAATAGATTAATTGAAAGTATAATACCATTATTTATCTATTGATGTAAAAATAAATAAAAAAAAGAGATTTACTAAATTTCTTAATAAACTACGTTTTTTTTGTAAAACATTGATTGGTGGAAAGGATTATCCAATGAAATGATAATTGCGACATCTTTTCCTCCGTTTAATTGTTATAGAAACAATATTTTCTTTTTTGAAATGATCGTATGAGTATGAATATTTCGATTGAAAAATGACGACAGAAATTATTTTTAAAGAACAAATACTTTTAACAAGACAAGAACGATCCAATGCATCCTTTCATGCAGGATGTAAAATGTTTTCATGGTCTTGTAATGATAACGCGATTAAAGTAGAATTTACATTTAATTATTCTTTAAAAATGAAATTTTTCTATAGAATTTTTTATCAATTGAATTTGATAATGAATACACAGCTTTTTTATCGATTAAAATAAAACAACATGCCGAAGGTAAATTTTATACAATACAGTAAAACTTCGCTAATGTGAACACCATCGGGACCGGGAAAAAAGTGTTCACTATAGAGAGCTAATATATAATATAGCCTGAAATAGAAGAAATCTTAGAATATTTGCTTATGCCTTTGAGTAGCTGCCAAGTTCGAGTTTGAATATAAACGGGTATTAAAAAAAGAAAAACTCATACCTATTCCTAGGAATGGATTTAGTTGTAGAATAATTTTCAGAGAAATCCCCCTCATCCACCCCTTGGTCTTATCATATACATCTTAGAGTAAAACTGAATCTATTTATAAATTTCACCATTTATTTCAGAATTAATAGTATGCAGTTGGATGTCTATTTATATTCGAATTCGAATTGGTTAGCTCATCAAAATATATGACAGAAAATAGAAAGAGGTCAAAAAAAACATCATATATATGTCCCAGGCAAAATTTGCTTTTTTTTCGCGCAGAAATTTGAATTTTTTTTTTTTTATAGAGTAGACATGATATTCATACGATCTGAAATGATAAAACTTGCTCAATGAGATACACTCATGAAAAAAGCTTCATGATCTTCTTTGAAACAGTTTTCGTTTTATACGTCTACCGCACTCTACATCTTTCAAAACTTTGTTTACTGTTCAGAATAAAGAGATGTTCATATTGGAGAGATGCATTTCCAGGAAAAATCGCTCCATCGGACCTGAGAACGTTCATAAAACAGAGAATGTCACTATCGAGAGGTGTTACTGTATTCGAAATAAAGATTAGATGAATCATCCTAATAGTAATCTAATTGATTTAATAAATCAAATTTTCTCTAATAAAAATAGATGAATGGCATGTTCTTTTAAAACGATATCGATTAATGGAATCATCTCATGGTGAACCTGGTAGTAATAGTCATATTATATTAGATCAAAAACAAGTATTTATCAATAATTATTCTTACAAATAAATAAATAAATTGTATTTGTATATATTTTAGTTTATATTTATGCCACGTTCTATATATCAAATATGTTTTTTTCTTCAACAACCATCACCAATTTGGAAAGATTTTTCTATTGATAATGTTAAGATTCACAATCAAACAAGTCTATCAAAAGATGTAAGACAAAAAAAACGATCATATTTTATAACAGCCAATGTCTCACATCGTTATCAATATGATTAGAACAAAGGAATAACCTTTTGATTGATATATATCTTTCTTTCTAGCGTAAGCCATCAATTGAGCGTTTACTTAGCAGTACCTTGATTAATGATGATCAAATGACAGAAACGACATTTACTGTAAGTAATCATATTGTTATTATGATATGAACAAGAACTTTCTTCTTCTTCTTCTTCGCCTTCATAGAAAATACCACCCATCAATGAACTTTCCCAACATCTTCAAGCAATGTGGACAATATGTGCTAAAATGCAGCAATCAGATTATGGTACCGATCATATAAAACGATTTGATGTAAATTAAATTTATCGAAAAAAAAAATTATATTTTATTTTTCTTTTGTCTTAGATCGATGGTTCATATGATTTACAAATACTATCTTATACATAAATTAGCTCAAATAAAATCTATATTGCCATCAATTATCATGCGTCTATTTTTTTTATCGACATCAAGGTTTCATCAATATATCTATATAGTACTCTCTCGTTTGATTCTCTCATGCTGTGTGCATACATCTATAAATAACGTTGAAGAATATCGATTTCTTTCGATAGGATTACATAAACTTCTTTTTCTTGTTTAGTCATTCTATCTAGTTCAGGTGCCTATATACTGATCATCATTATGACATGAGATATATTATGTGAGAGAGAGGAAAAAAACGAGCCGTATATCAGTCTTATATTTATCTCGACATTATATATCTACATACAAATAAAGAACGTGCAAATTGTTCGATGTGATGATTCAAGACAAACTACTTAATTATCAATATGAATTAAAACCATTAGCAGATGATTTGCATACAACAAAACATTCGGATAGTTTTGTTCATAATAATACCAATGTAAGATAATATTTAGTTCTTATATATACATCATATCATTTTTAAGTTCTATATATGCATGAGGAATGATACATTCCATTCTTTATATTTGTTTGTTGTTTTGGTCTAAATGCATTTTTTTTTGTTCGACAACGATACATCTTTTCCTCTTTTTTTCTCATCGTTGAGACGACAGATCTTCTCATCGCACCGGTTCTTTAGACCAACCTTGGAGCTGATGCATACCATGCACAAAGACGTAAGAAAACAGTGTGGGTGGGCCGTAATCGTTAGAAAAGAGTGGAACAGCAAGATAGATCCTTTTGCTTTTTTGTGTACAAGAACTGTCGTCATCCACTACGATTCTATCGACACAATTATTATTCCTAACAACCTTTTTTTTTCTCGCTATATCATATAAACATATAGAAGGGAAAAAAGAAGAAGAACGGGCGTTCTTCATACAGTTGCTGAAACCAGAAGGCATACGAGCTGTTGTCGTGCTTGTGAGTGCGTGTGTGTGTGTGTATGTCATCAAGTTGTGCCAAGCCGGAGAATACATTTCGATTATTATTTTGTATATATATATCTAATATTTTTCAATAAAATATTTCTGGTATTATTAACAAAATATCAAGAAGGATATTAAAGCGATATCTTCTTATATATTACTTGAAAAAAATCCAGAAAATTTTACTATACGGTAAGTTGCATACAAATTAAACAGTTAGCCTTGTATCTTGTCAACATTGTCGGATCACTGACAAAAAACAGATAATATATACATATATTGCTTTTTTCTACAGACATAAAAAACTAAAACGGCAAGAGATATAAAAGTCAAATTGATTATGTATAATTAAAAAAATACATATTGATCTTTTAACTAGTACGTTCTTGACTGATAGAGACATTTATGAAGCTGTTTTTCTTAGTTTATTGTTGATGAGAAAACATTCAGGTCAACTCGATTTATCTATTAGTTGTCGTGCCAATGTAATATTAATGAAGAATAAGTACGTTAAAGAACGATGGCGACAGCCGATAGAAATATATCCGATCCGTTTTTTTCCATTCTATCGTATTTGCTTGATAGAATCCTCTTCGAGTTTTTCTGTTTTGCTTGTTTGTATATATGCTTTTTCATGTAGAAGCAGAATTTTCTATACATATTATTATTGTACATCTGGTCGTTGCAGAACAAAAAAGATGTATAACCGTTGTCGTGCAATAATGTACGAATGGTCGATAATAATTCTAAATAGATGCTTCTCTTTCTTGTCTGTCTTCATTCAATCATCAGAGCATTTACTGCATAGAAAACATAAAGAAGATAATAACTAAAGAAAAACAAAAGAATAGAACAGAACAGAAAAGAAAAATAGAAATGTGATTCTCTATTGTCAATAATATCTTTACTACTTTTCTACTATTTTCTATGATTGATACACGAAGTCATAACCAACAATATTTTTTCCTGCCAACAAAGATTATTGAGAATCGCATGTATGCGCACACACATACATAAAAACATGCGCACATATGAAAAACAGAAGAAAGAGAAAAAATTAGTTTGTATTTCCCATTTGTCGATACATGCGAATAGGTCACATTATGAATAAGAAAAATCTCTCTCTCTCTCTCTTCTTTCCTTTGACTGTGTTAGACATTTCTTAAGGAGCGATTGCCAAACGTTTATAATTGAAGAGTGTTTTTCTTTTTCTTTGACCGGCTGTCTCCTATTACTGGTCAAATGTTTTCTCATTAAGATATTCCATGATTTCCTTGCCTTACTTTCCTTCGTCTGTCTATTTCTTTTCATTACATGCATTACGCTGTGTTGGCCATTGTGAAAGTAGATTATCTCAACTGCCATAATAAAAACATACACTGTTGACATTTGTCTGAAAGAAAACCATGAGCCATATTATCACTATTGCTTGTTTCGGATAGGGAATAAACTAAAAAATAATGTCAGTTAATCGAAAAACTGTAGTATTGCGAGGTGGTGCTCCTTGGGGTTTTCGACTTTCAAGTAGTAGTCGTACACCTGTATATATTGATAAGGTATTTTTCTTTCTTGTTGTTGTTGTTTTCGACAATAAAAAATTAAGAAATTCTCTTTTTTTTCATTGAATAGGTACGCAGTCAAAGTAAGGCAGCACTAGGCGGTCTTACAACAGGTGATACACTTGTATCGGTTAACGGTGTACCATCAGTACAACAATCTTTACGAGAAATAAATGACGTAATAGGTAGTGTTCGTGATCAACTTGTTCTCGAAGTACAAAGGTAAATTATTAAATTTAATTTTCTATTCTATTTTAAAATCTCTTTAGTTCAACACAACCTCGTTCAAATCGATTTGATTCAACGTCAAGTTTAGATACGAAAGAAAATAGTCCTGTTTACTCACTACAACGTATAACTCCACAATCACCATCAATGGATTATCATCAATATAATAATTCTTCACGTATTACACCTGCGTATCCATCATATACATCAACAACAGGTTATAATCAATACGATAATCATCGAGATCCACGTTATACCGATTCATATGGACGTTCAATTCAAAATCCATTACCAGCAATGTTTCGTACAGCTACAATGGCATCGAATTCACCACAAACACCTTCAGCTTCAACAAGAGGACAACAATATAGTTATCATTTACCAACATCAAATAGTATGTATGATACACCACGTAATTATAATGGAGCTATGTCAAGTGGTTATGTTTCGGATACAAATGATGTTCGACGTTCTTCAATTTCTATGCGTCCAACAAATAGTTCAAATTCTAATATACGTCGTACTACTAATAATAATAATATTAATAATAATCCAAATCCACAACAATCGTATTATTCAAAACCAGCAACAACTTATAATACAAGGATTATACAAAATAATGATCAAAGTTATTTCAGTGATTCAGAATATGCTTCATCTGGTCCACGCTATACAAAAATTAGTCGACAAGCAAATCCAGTTCGACGACCAAGTAATGTTGTTTTACCAATACGTTCAATAACAAGTAAAGCATATGATGAATATGTACCACCTCAACAACCTAAACAACAACCAATTGATGTGTATCGTTATCAACAAGAGCAACGAGAACGTGAACAACGCGAACGTGAACAGCGAGAACGTGAACAACGTGAACGTGAACGTGAAAGACAAGAACAAATACAGAGACAATTATATGAACAGCAACAAGCAGCAGCAGCAGCTGCCGCTGCTCGTTATAATCTATCGCAAGATCATAGACGTAAATCTGATCGTAAGCATGGATCTTTTATAAATCTTCGTTTCTTATTCTTTAAATTTTGTTTTTTCAGCAACTATTGATCATGAACTTGGTGCTGATCTGCTCAAATCACCTATTGCAAATAGTAAGTTTATTTTTAAAATATAAGATTTAAATATGAATATGATTTTTCAATATAGAGAAGGTTTATGCTGATTCAAGCTTCTTTAAAACTTCTTTTAATACTTATCCAACAATAGAAGAACAAAAAAAAATGGCACATAAAATTGCCTCCATACTTCAAGGAGGGGATCCAACATCAAAAGGTGCATCGAAATTTGAAAGACAACGTCAACGAGCTGAAAAATATACTCTCGAAGCTGAAGCAAATGCTACTCCGACGCTGAGTACAAGTAATTATCGTCCATTACGTCCTGTACAAACGAACGATATACCATTTACACATCATCCACCACCACCACCACCGCCATTCGATACATCAAATGTACCTGATTGTATTAAACATAGTTTAGATCAAGCTCAATATGTTAATCCATTACGATATGTTGGTGCCCCGGATAATTTTAAACAAATGCATATGCAGGTAAAACATGAAAAGAAATATTTATGAATTGTAATAATTCGAATACTCTCTCTCTCATAGGAACATGTTACACATACAAATGTCTCACCACAAGCTGCAATGAGTCTCGTTGCTGATTTAAATGCAAATCGTGGAAAAGGTGCTGCCTTGTTTCAAAAACGTAAAGCTCGTTCTGAAAAATGGGTAGTTGATGAAAATAATGTTAAGAAACAAGGATTTCAACCAACATCAACTCATATTAGCGTATATATTTTCATTTATGTTTCTATTTATATATATCAATTTGTCTTTTTTTTATATACAGCCAACATCTCAACCATGGGGCCAGGTTGCACCCGATTCATGGTCTGGCGATGAAGGACCTTATACAGGACCAAATTTTTCGCCAGTTCGACCAAAATTTAATCCACCTGCTCCTCCTTCTGCAGCTCCCTCTGTACCTGAACCTATTCTATCACCTCCGCCAACACAAAATGCACCGAGATTTGGAGATTTTAATGCTAAACCAAAAGGTTTTGGCAGTTGGAATACGGAAAGTATGTATTTTCTATGGAAAAATAATCAGAACTCTTTTTGTTTTTCATTTAATAAGATGTAGCACCAAAATCACCACGTGGAAGTATTGATTCTCGAAAACCATTGAATTTAGCTATGGAACCAAGTATTCGTGAAGGTATTGCTGAATCACATATGCGAAATGCATCTCAACCATTTTCACCACCATACAATTCTCAGCCACTATTTTCTCCGAATTCACAACAACAACAGAATAATGATTTTTTTAATTTTCCATCTTCAAATGTTCTTGGTAAATGGAAAAATCAAGAATATTCACCATGGAATCAATCATCAGCACAAGATTCTCAAAGATCACAAATGCCAATGACTCGTGAAGGTATTGATCAATTACGTCAACGGCTAACACAACAAAATCCACCACCACCACAACCAGTAAATCAACCTTATTCTGCATATAATCAACGTAGTGGGAATAGTGCTAGTTATAATCCATATCCGTCAACTCAAGGACCACCACAACAGCAACATTTTACAGATCTCTAAATGTCTATTTTGTATGAATAATTCAATCTTAATTCTGTTTATAGACTAATCTCGGTGAAACAAATCAATTGTTTGTTCGCTCAATACAATTGCAACCATTGCTATCATTAATTATTTGCACTATTCAATTCTTTTTCTCCTAGCCTACTGTTACTAGTCTAGTCCAAAAAACAAAAATAATTCGAAGAAAAAAGAAAACAGTTTACCTACTTTTTAAACATTTTTTCCTCGCTTCTTCTGCTTTTTTTTATATTGTTTCATTTGCTTCTTTTATATTCTATTTATATGATAGAGAGTTAATTTTCTTAATCTTGTTGATTTTACTTGTATGAATATTTGTGTATATATTTTAACATTTCGTCGTTTTTCTCATAATTGTACACAAATTATTCATACATTATTTATTATCAACAATTGTCTAAAATAAATGACTGATTCAACCAGAAGAAGAAAAAAACAACAGAACTGATATGATGAAATCTTATTTTCTGTATCATAGACATGGATGATAGGCGATTATTTTATTTCCTCTTACAATTGATATTTCGGTTTAAAATAAATTTGTTCACATTTGTATTAAAGCAATAAAATAGAAAATTAAGGTTTGTCTATAAATCGTCCTTTATCTACAGCCGTATTAAGACCTTGATAACGATAAACACCACATTTACCAAGATGCTGAAATAGAAGGAAGAAGAAAAAAAAACAGATAAGAAATATGAAAAATTCAAAATATCATTTTTTCATACTTCAGTAAATGCACTTGATTGTGTTCGATAAACAGTTGGCATTGTATGAATATTAGGCTTTTCAGCACCATAATCTTGAGCAGTTGTTCGATAGAGTGGATTAGGTTCTTTTTTTGTATATCCTTGCCACCAATCTAATTGAAATATATTATTAAGATGATAAGAAAACAATTAGTTATATACCTGGGTTGTCGAATTTATCTGGAATATTGAATGTTCTATATTGATCACTTGTTTTGTCACCACTTGTTGCAGCATTTCTTTGTGCAACTGTATCTCTTGGTTGTAAATAAGTTGAAACTAAATCAACAGGAATGGAATCCGATTGATAGACGACTTCACCATTTTGATCAACTTCTGTATATCTTGCTGGTGGAATACATTGTTGATTGTTATAATTATTGTCATTATATGAACCAGAATTGAAGTTTGTCGAGCTCATATTTAATAAATATGAAGAAACCGAACAATTATATCGAGAGGAACTTTAGTAATAGTGTATGCAGTCTTGTTTATAATGTTTTGATTTAACAACCACTTTCTTTTACCATCACGACTAATGTTGTCATGTAACAAACCTCTTTCAATGAGTAATGATATAGAGGTCGTTACAATGTATAGTACATTCGATTGTAAACTCGAAAAAAGTAATAATAATATATGAAGCGTCGTTAATACCACTCTGATTATTTGATGAAATACTTGTATAGAATTTAACTTTTTTCAAACCTGCAATGACCTAAATGATCGTTTTTTCTTTTGTGATAATCTTCCAAAATGAAAATGTTATTGAATAACTGACTCTTTAATATTTGACTCTACGAACTTGATTATTTTCGAATCTTATGTCCTTTGATTGACACACATTGGATAGTCATGACACTTAACTGGAAACAATTGATTTCTACTTACAGATATTCTTTTCTTTTATCTCTGATATTTCAATGTTGCATCATAGAATAGAAACATATTGGTATATGACATTGTATGAAAACTGTTGGATAGAAAACATCTGTTGTCAATTAATTAATGAACATATTTTCTACTAATTTATGGACTAGCATATATACGTAAAATATAAACAATATATGTATAATGAGGATATGATTATTATACAAATATAATGAACTAAATCATTAATTATAGTTATGATGAGGGTATACAAAGAAAAATAAATTGAATACTTAATGCAATCCTCAAACATTTTATTCTATTCAATAGTCATTGAAACCATTTACTTTGAAAAAAGTATAACTATAATAGTAGTAATTGCCTTTTCATTCTTTACTTTTATAATTCACTTATAACTGTTATACTTTAAGTGTTCTCAACATAGTAACTAAAGTGTTGTTTAAATAATTATTGTATAGAAATTCTTCTAAATCTTTTTCTTAATCACAGTTTTTTGAGCGAGAAAAAAAGGATATGTATATATAAAATAGTGACCTCTTTGTTTTAAAACATACAACATCGCTAAGCGACGTTACCTTTGAATAAAGCGTAAATGGCAAACTTTTTACAGTACAATTTTGAGAGAAATACTATCTATATCTAATAAAATTGAACAAAAATGTCTTCATCGAAACGAAAAATGCTTGATATATCCGTTGTACCTCAGAAATTAAATCAATTTCGTGGATCTAATCAAGGTACATACGAAACTAGTGATGCTAAAGCATATGCGGAATATGTAGCACAAGATGTAAGTTCTTTCATGTTGGTTCATATTTATTTTTACATGATTATCTGATCTAGACTGATGGAGGATTATCACGCCTAGTAACTGATAAACATCTGGCTCGTACTCTAGCACGTAATGAGCGTCGTGAGGATTTACCTATGCATCTTAGATCGTAATATAATTTGATTATTTAATACTTAATTCAAAAAATGTCATTTGTTCAGATTAGAAAGATGGCAACAAGAAAATCCAAGAAAAATGGGTGGAAGAATAGAACATGAAAATATACCAGCACAATCATCACCACGAGATGAGAGAACATCACAAATTGTTTGGATAAAATTTGAAGCTGAAAAAAATTCACGTGATGCTGCTTATCAATTAATTCGACTTCGTAGAAAACTTGGTCTTCCAATACAATTACCTATTTATGGGCCCGGAGGAAAACGAATACTTGAACAACATCTTGCTAATGCTAGAAATGAACAAGTAATTGATATAAAAATGAAAAACTAATCCTATTTTTTCTTTTGTTCTTTTAAGTCACCAAATTCAGATAAAAGTGGAATATTCTATTATTGTTTATTAGCTGCTCGAAATAAATATTCTGCACCTTATAATCCATATGATTTAGAAATCCAAACCAATGAAATTGAAGTTATAACTCTACCCTATTTCTGGACAGTTTCTGCTTTCAATATAACTTATGTATTTATCAAGAAGAAAATAAAATATTAAATAAAAAATTCTTCGAATATTTATAGGTTAATACATTAGATTCATCTCAGACAACAATCACTCCTGCTTTAGTTTGGTTATGGGAACGATATCAATATAATTATTTAACTACTCAATTATCATGTTTCTCAAATTTTCGGTTTGTTTATTCAATTTTTTGTTTTCTAAAATCTTACTATGAAATTTTTACCTAAAGAAAATGGCGAGCATTTCGTTGTTGGTGGTCTAATGTTCAAGCTGAAAAACGCGAACGAACACTGTAGATAATTTTTATTACAATAAATACTTTTTTCCTTAATTATTAATTCTATTTAGTTCTATTCATAATCGAAAACTTTTTTATGCGAATGAAATTTTTCAAGGTGTTCTTATTCATGTTAAAGCAATGTGTGAAGTTTATTATTATGGACAAACAGATCGTATTAAACCATTTTGTTTACTTGATCGTCATGTATATCAACAAACATCAACTCTCGAAGAATTTAGTCGACGACATTTTGCACAAATGAACGTAACATCAATTAAATTAAGAGAATTTATTGATCAAATTGCAATTCTAGCAGTTCATGCTTGTGAAGTAAATAATGAAAAAATAGTTTTCTTATCAATAAAATTTTATTATAGAAAGCTGTTGAATTAGAAGGAATATCTGTCGAAGCTTTAGCAGATCCAAGTCTTTATCAACAACCAGTAGAATTCGATGACGATGAACAAATATCACAATTTGATACACAACAAAGTCGAACATCGATAAAAACAAAAGCTAAACTAAGTAAATTTTTGAAATAAATTGATTATTGACACGAAAAAGTTTAATAAAATTAGATATTGGCCCAAGTTTTGCTGAACGTAAACGTTGGCGTGATACATTAATACGTATATCAGATTTTTTACGTTTACTTGATTATATTATACTTGAATTTCTTCGTCGTCTTGTTAAATCATGTGTACGAGATTTACTTATTCAT